TTTTTTTTTTTTTTTTTTTTTTTAAATACAGGCTCTCGCTATGTAGTTCAGGCTGGCCTTGAACTTGCTGTGATTCTCCTGCGTCATCCTCCTGAGTGCTGGGATCACAGGTGTGTGCTCCCTGCTCACACATTTGTTTCTTTTGACAACTTACCTTCTCCAAGTTGCTGCAGCCCAGACACTTGATATGATCCTACACTTAGCCCCACGCGCTCAGTAGGGACAATTTGAGTTTGCAACACTAGTGGCTTCCACAGTAACCATTGCTAGAAGTCTCAGGGCCAGCATGTGGGCCCCCGTCCCGGAGGCTCAGCCTGCAGGACCCAGTCCTGGGCCACCATAAGAGGCTCAGGAAGAAGCAGCAGGGAGCAGAGAAAGTGGGGATGTGCCTGAGAGCAGTTTCACTCTGCCAGAAGAACGCAAAGTTATGGTCCGGTGCAGAATCCTGTATCCTGGAAGCTTTTAGGGAACTAGCTGCAAGGAGAAATAGCCCAGTGAGCCTCCCCAATCTGCTGCATTCCTTCTCTTGATAGCCTGAATGCTCTTCAAGACCCAAAGTAAACATCACCTCCTGAGATACGTCCTCAACCCCCTTCTGATGCTGAATTGAGATCTGTCACCATCTGGTCTCTATTCTCGGAGTGAGGTGACTATGTCTCCAGGATTTGGAGGCAATAGATCTGCCCCCCCATCCTGAGCCCTTTTCTACTGGTGCTTCCTTGGGACTCATGTGGGGACATCTTGATTCCCAGGCATGAGGGGACTTCAGTAGGGCATCTCTCTGACCCAACATGGAAACAGCTCCGACCCAAATGAGACAGGAAGGGCCTGTGCTTTGTCAAGGAAGGGGTGTGTCTCTCTGCAAGGCCAGGGTCTGTCCTGGGTCACTAGCCCCTCCCAGGCACCTGGACAGCGCGTGGTCAGTGGGTGACAGAGAGACACCAAAGCCTCCCCTGTCAACGGACTCAGTTTGTGGGAAGGGACCAGCTAACAGTTCACAAGGATGCCCTCAAGGTGAAGCCCACCCTCTGTCACACTCAAAGTCCTGTGTTCCCAGGGTCTCTTCCTGTTTCACTTCGCTTCCCTTCTCCCAGAGCCCCTTCACTGCTTCCTGCATGGCCCATGCCCCTGGCTGCCCATAAACCTTTGCTTGGGCTGTTTCTTCACCAGGATGGCTGTCTCTACTTTCTCTCTACTCAGTCATTAAGAATATGAATAAGATCAGCCCGAGTGTGGTGGCACACCCTAAATCCCAGCTCTCTGGGAGACTGAGGCAGGAAGATCACAAGATTGAGTTCAGCCCTGGCAACTTGGTGACTCAGAAAGATCCTGTTTCAAAATAAAAAAATAAAGGACTGGAGATGTAGTTTAGTGGAAAGGCCCTGAGTTCAATCCCCAGTATCACAAGGAAAACAAAAATCACATATAATTTGAGTGTCCGTGGCTTTACTTTGTCTTCAGTACCTCTGAAGGTATGGTAGAGAATATTAGCTTTATTTTATTGGCCATTGGTTAGGTTCAGAGAGGTCAAGTAAGTGACTTGCTCAGTACCACACAGTAAGATGTGAAAAGACTCAAAACCCAGGTCATTAGGCACCTTTTCCAGTGCTCACCCAGAAAGGCACACTGTCAGGAGAGACCCAGGCTGCTGCATTTCCTGGTGTCCCCAGACCCTGTGTCCCCTGGCTCCTGCCTGACTCTCCAAACCCTTTTGCTCTTTGCTCCTTGCTCCTGTGCTCCAGCCACCAGGGCCTTCTTGATGTTTTCCTGTGATGCTGAAGTCATTCCTTCCTCAGGGTCTCTGTAATCGCTGCTCTTTCCCCAGCCTCACAGAGCAGGCTCCTTCTGTCCATTTCGGCTCCAGTTCAAATCTCCCTGTTCCACGACTCCTGTCAATGAGCTTGGTTGGCTTCCCCTCCCTCAGCCACTAGGCCTCATCCTATTTTGTTTTCTGCATAGCATTTAACACTACTTAAAATGAACTCATTTACCTATATCTCCCAATATAAAAAGCAACATGATAGAGGATCCATCCGCCTAGTCCAAGAGCCTGACACTGTGCCTGGCATGCATTAGCCACCCAGTGTTTGCTGAATGAATGCACGGGTGACACTGCCCCTCTCCCTAGGCTGGCGGCACGTATCATGTGGCGGGTGGAGAGAGAGGGCACCGGGCTCACCGAAGGCTGCCTGGTGTCCGTGGATGAGCTGCAGAATCACGTGGAGCACTTTGGGGAAGAGGAGCAGCAGGAGCTTCGGGTGGACGTGGATACGTTCTTGAAGTACTGGCCGCCCCAGAGCCAGCAGTTCAGCGTGCAGTACATCTCGCACATCTTCGGAGTGGTATGGCCCGCTCCCCTCCTCCGATGCCTCTCCTCACACCTTCTCTTTCTCCTTCCTCCCTGCCTCGTCCTCCTTTGGAAGGCTGGGCCTTCTCAGAGTCCGAGGGCCTCATCTGCCCCAGACAGTGACTTCTGTTTCCGTGATGGTCACATCTAAGCCAGGCAGCCGAGGCTGGTGGAGACTGCCTTTACTTACCAGCCATAGCAGATCCACCTGTGCCCCCTCTGTTCCAAGCCTATGGACAGGCCTCTCAATGACCCCATTAAAACATCCGGGGATCCTACCGTATGGCTCCTCATTAAGAGGACAGGCTAATGACACTTGGGATTGTCCAGTTTAAGAGACTTCCAGAAGGCCAGGCCAGAGTCAGGAGGGGGAGGCCAAGCTTAACACGAAGGCCTCTCATCTTGCACTTCTTTCTGACCCTTCCTAACTGAAATCGGCGCCCATGCACCAAGTTATTTATCATCTTGGAATGGTGCCTTTGGGTGGTAATTTGTGTTCCTGTTTATCTGCACTTTTTAAAAATTTTTCTCCTGTCCACAGTGAAACAAAGACCTGACTCTCACCCTATCCTTCCCACCAGTCACTTGGGAAATTAGACTTTTCTTTTTCCCAAGTCTGCCCGGCAGGACTGATGGGGAGCTTGGGGCTGTGGGCTGTGTGAGCTTGTGACAGGGAGCCAGAGCATCATGGTGGGAACAACAAAGCCAGCCAGACAAGGCCACTACAGGTAGGGGTGGAGCCTGGTGGCTCAGGAGAATCAGGTTTTAGGCTTGAGGATTAGGTGTCTTCCAGCTGGAAGACCATTTCCCTTACATGGTGATAATGATCTGGACAAGGATTCCATATGATCGCATTCAGCAGCTCCTTAGTTCTACACCCCATGGTGGGGGGAGAGGGAGAGGGAGAGAGATATCTTAAGGAATTGGCTCTTATAATTGTGTAGTAGTGGAGGCCAGACACCTGGGAAAGAGCTGCACAATTTCTTTCTGTTCAGAGAGGTTGGTCTTTACTTTTTTAAGGCCTTTGACTGATTGGACGAAGCCCACTCAAATTGTGATGGGTGGTTGGTTCACTCATAGCCTGTCAATTTAAATACCGATCTCATCCAGAAAACAACTTCACAGAAACATACATAATAAGGTTTGACCAAATAAAATATCTGGGCACCATGACCTCGCCATGTCAATATATAAATGTAACCGTCACGGCTTCCTGTTCTACATTATGTCATGCAATCTTTACAACAGAAAGTAAAGTTCATGCTTTTAGCTTTTCTACTGAAGACTACAAGGTCAGCTGGTGCCATGGGAAGGTCTGGAGGTGGTCTGCCTGCTGTCAGAGCTTCTGCTCTTACTTACTGTGCTGTATGGCCTTGGGGTGATTTGGGGCGAGAGACCAACCCTGGCCATCCCTGAGGGAGTCTGGAGACTAGAGATATAGACCGCACAGTTACACAGAAATCTTAGAGCTGAAAAGATCCTTAGAGTTCATCTAGCCCATCCTATTCAACCTATAGATGGCAAAGCCAGAGCTCAGGGAAGAAAGAAATTTGCTCAAGGTAACACAGTATATTAGGGGCACTCACACATATACCATTTTGCATTGTTAAATGTCTGGTGAAAAGGAGTGGAGAATGTGATCCTCTTTCATATCTTTAATAAGTTGCCATGGGAGTGCATAAATGTATATTATATGTATGTTATATATTGTATTAATGTTATGCACACGTATTTATGTATGTGCTTATATAAGAGGTGGAAATTTTGTGCAATTACAAATGTATTGGAGGTTTTATTTATTGTTCTGTGCATTTTGTAGTCTAAGAGCAAGTATGTGGAGTCTGATTCTATAAAGAACAACTTACTTTTAAGGAAAAGAAAATAAATTGAATGACATATTTATAATATCAACCTGATTTGCCTTGGATTTCAGCGATAAGTATTAAATATGACACTCATCTGATTTCAAAATTGTGAACAGGAAGTCTAAAACTCTTTGCCTGACACAAAACAATGCAAAAGAGAGGCAAATTTTATTTTGTGTGCAGCTTTTGGTATTGTGAGTGGGTAGGCAAAGGAAGGAAGGGAACAACAAGCAGATAAGTCTCTCTCTCACCCTCTCTCTGTCTCTGTATTTCTCTGTCACACACACACACACACACACACACACACACGCACGCACGCACGCACGCACTCACAGCAATGTAGGGAGAGGAGCAAAACACCAAGACAGTTATGGAGGAAGACTCATGCGGCCAAGACACAGCAAAGGGGACTCACATTTCCAACTTGGCCTTTTGCGAATGGAGTCACTAAGTGCTTTCCAGCTGGTAATGCATTTTTGCAAACATGGCAACCTCTTGGGGCACTTGTCTTGTGGGTGTCACTTGGAGTCACACAGAGAACAGAAGATTATTTTTTTTCTAGACTCTCTATGCAGAGCCTATTTAAAAAAAAAACACTCCTTTCAGCAGTTTGATGCAGTTCTGTCATTTGTCTCTGTCCATCAACTGATCCTCATCTTTTCCTCTGGGTAGATTAACTGCAACGGTTTCACGCTCAGTGACCAGAGAGGCCTGCAGGCAGTGGGAGTGGGCATCTTTCCCAACCTGGGCCTGGTGAACCATGACTGTTGGCCCAACTGCACAGTCATATTCAACAATGGAAAGTAAGTGCGTCTTTAATTGGTGTGTGTGTAAGATAGGGATGGGTAGATTTTATGATATTCTTTCTGCCACATATTTTCAATGTGGAGTGAATTGGAATCTCAATATAGAATATATAGAGAATGGTATCAAAGCAGATATCAAAGGATTCCACATGCGTCCTTTCTGAGTCTTCACATATACCTTGAGACTGTCAAGACATGCTAGGTAAATCGTTAACTTCTACTTTAAACTTGAAGCCTACAGCTAGTACTGGGAGGGATAAGAGAACAGGTGTAATTAGTACAGATCTATCTAAAGTTCATAGGAGAATATTGACTAAGAAATGACTTGTCAGGAGCATGTATTATCTAAGGTACTGTCAGGAATTAGAAAGCACATTAAAAGGAGTTAGCCAAAGATAGTTTAATGAAGCATCAGTTTACAGAATTCTGGGCAGGAGTTAAGATTCTAACAAGGTGTCTAGCGTCCAGAGAACAGGAAGCTGTTACCACCTCCAGCCTTGGAGGGACAAGTAGAGAATATTTTACCTATATCCAGTGAGAGCCTGAGCTATGGAGACAAGCCCACTCTGCTGTGACTTACAACTGTGCCTGTAGGCAAACCAGCCATGGGTCAAATCATGTTCCAAATGCCCCAACATCTCTCTCCTACAACCTTTTGGTCTCCTCCCCTTGGCCAGTTCCTAACCAGAGGCCAGAGAACAAGGGAAACTGGGTGATACATCCTTCCGAATTCGGCCTTGTGCCCCCAGAAAGGAAGATATCAGGGATATGAGGGTAAAAAATAGATCTCAGTGGTAAGGCACACATGGAGAAAAATCAGCAGATGAGCTGAGTTGTCCTTGTAACAGATTGGGTACATGGGGTAAGGGGGGAGGTGAGGCCTGAACAGTTTTTTAATTGCTTTCACTCTTAAAAATGAGCTCTCAGATACAAGCTGACACCAAGCCATCAGTAGTGGGTAGAGTTCTCCCTAAAAGCATCCTAGAAGTTGAAGACAATGGCTTCTGAATCTCAGCTGAAAACCTGACCTGAGCCTCAATGTAACAAGAACTCTGTTTTCCTTTTTCATTCCTATTTCTGACACTGGGGCCTTAAGCAATGGAAAACGATGCTCAGGGTGGGAAAGTTTATTTTATACCCAGATGATCATATTTTCCCAGCATCTGTGATTCTTTTCCTAAGCCTCTTGGGGTCATTGGCCTGGACCTTGTGGAATTCTCCCTAGAGAGCCGCTTGACCAGGCTTGGTAGAGAGCATCATTATTTTGCCATACATGAGGCCTGACTTTCCAGGTTATTCCCCTCAATGGTGGTGATGCAGAGCTCCTGTCACTATGTGTAATAATTAAGGGACCTGGCTGGGAACACTGTCTTCAGTCATGCTGGTATCTGCACTGGCTTCCTTGCATCTACTAATTTCGAGTAGCCATGTCTTACCTGGGTTCCTTGGCTTTTGTACAAGAGAAGATGTCTTTGCAGTCACTGCTGCTAGCTGCCACAGTGGAAAGAGCCCCGGACATGGTGTTGGGGCCCAGTTCTAACACTCACCATTTTTATATACTACCCTGGTGGTCTCACTAGTCACAATATGCAATTCAAACTCTTCCAAAAACAGTCATCAACAGGCAGTGTTTCCATGAGGGTGCCTGTTAGTGGGACAATAGTAACAACTGCCCATATGTTCCTTAGCATTGTTCTTTTAAATGCATTGTAATGTGACAATCTCATTATCAGTTAACAGGTGAGACAGAGACCCAGGAAATAGAAGTTACTTATTCATGGCTGAAGACTTTTGAATCTAGAGCTTCTCATGCCAATGCACGTTCCCCTATACTAGGCTGTGTCCTATTATGTGAGCCCAGTTTGAAGCCAATGGGATAAAGGCTGTATGATGGCCAGAGCTATGGTTGTATAACCCAGAATGCTGTGCAATCTTGCTAGCTGTACTTGATCAGCTAGTGGTACTGATTTCCATTCGGGTGTCTGTTTTGTCTTTCAGTCATGAGGCAGTGAAATCCATGTTTCACACCCAGATGAGGTGGGTCAGGCTTTTCAAACACCCCTGCTCCTCTGACCCATCTCCCTCACTTTTCGTGGTTTGCTGGGACTGCCCCTTCCCAAGTCCCCTTGGTTATGGTCTTTCTGTAATGTCCTTCTGCACTCTAGTGTCTTATCTGCATTGAATGGCTTAATTTTAATGCATTCAAAGTAATCATTTTTCTCTTTACCTACCCACCACCTGCTTTGTCTTTGCTTTAGTTTGCTTCCTTTCTTCCCTCTCTTTCAATTCTAACTTCTCACACTCTGTCTACATCAAAGCATGAAACTTTCTAATTCACATCCTCTTAACCAAAATCTATATTATACCTCTAAACCCTGCTTACCTTGAAATGAATGTTTGTTTATAACGCCAACTCCCCACCCAGATTGGGTTCTGGAAATAGTACCCATAACTGTAATATTTTGATAAATATTTATTCATAATATTCTGTTTAGTATTTATAGCCAACTATAAATTTGTGGTTTAGGTTAAATTTTACTTTTTTTTTTTTTTTTTTTTTTTTTTTTTTTTTTTGCTTAATGACAATCAAATGTCCCCAGAAGGGGCCATGCACAGGCTGGCTTGAAAACCTTTAACCTGGTCTTTGGATTAAGAACAAAAGTCTGTGTGGGACTTGGCCTTTGGGAATGAGGGGTGGGAGTAGCTGGTGCACCTGTGTCTGTGGCACACAGTCCTTGACTTTCCATAATTCACATCATCTTTTGGGCTCGAGGCCCACATCTGTAGAGTGAAGTCAAGAGTAGAGTGTCTACAGGGACCTTCCTAGTTCTAAGTCTCCGTGGCTTTTGCTCTGTTTCTAACCTCCACAAGAAACACTTGAATAACTTGCCCACCGTGAACTATAGAGCTGTGGAGTGTTGGAGATGCAAGAGGTCTGAGGTCCAGGGCAGGAAAGTGACTTATCCAGGAAAGCTGGATGGAGGAAGACCCAGTACTAAAACTCATCTTTTTAGTCTTTTTGTGGTTGTTATTTTAGCCACAGTTCATCCTCCAGATCCCAGTTCCAGATATAGTTGGTCCCTAACTTATGATATTTTAACTTAAATTTTTTTTACTTTATGATACTGCAAATATTTACTCATACTACTATTGTATTTTCACCTTCAATGCAGTATTTAATACATGAGATATTTAGCACTTTTTTATAGAGCAGGTTTTGTGCTACATGTCCTTGCCTAACTGTAGTCTAATGTAAGTGCTCTGTGACATTTAAGCAGATGAGGCTAAGCTGTGATGTTTGGTAGATTAGGTGTGTTATGTGCATTTTGATTTATATTTTCAACTTACCATAGATAAATTGGGTCACAACCACATTGTAAATTGAGGAGCATCTGTAATGTAAAATGAAGTGGACATAAATGCATTATTCATATTTCAGTGGTATGAAATTAATTTGGTTTTAAAAACTCTCTGAATAATCTGAGATAGGGCCACTTGTTTAGCTCAGTGGTGCTGTGCCTCTCTGGCAAGTGAAAGGTCCTGAGTTCAATTCTTGAAACCGAAAAAAAAAAAAAAACCCCAAAAAACTGAAATACCTGGAGATCTTGTAAGAATTGACTCAGCCACAATGAGAAATAAAATTGCTGCACTTCCAATCCATTTGGTCAGTGAGTCACAGTTGAATTTGATATAGCAGTCCATAAAAGGGATTAGAGAGGGCAGAATTGCTCATACATCCTACTAGAGCCAAACACCAGCCATCCACCCCCACGCTGGTCCAAGAGTGGTGCACACAGAACTATTTAAAGTATCAGTGGGGTCCTGAGGAGAAAGGGCTTTGAAGGCCCTCATTTCCTAAGCATCCATCACAGACAAAGAAGCAGCCTGAAAACAGGTGTGGCCTGTTCTAATCTTGGCTCTGTCGCCAAACTGTGGGACCTTGGGGGAAGTTACCCATCCCTGTGTTAACAACCATGTTTGTGAAATAAGGGTCCCCAGCAGCTCAGACATCTTAGGATTCTTCGCAGAGCTGCGGGCAACATCCCCTGGACTTTCTCTTCCGCTTGCCTTTCATCACTTTAGTAAGAGCTGCTGCCAAAACTTGGGCTAGGGAAGAAAGGAAACAATGAACAAGAGGTGAGTAGACATTGAGATTTTCCCAGGCTCCATATCAGTTGCTCTTATGCATATTATAATGTTTCATATTAAAAATATGTTTTCTTGGTCATGTCAGTATATTCAACATTGGCCAAAGGTTTTTTTTTTTTTTTAAAGAGGTCATTTTAGACGCCAAAACATGCATGTCATTGACACTTAGCAGTTGCTTCCTTGGTCATCATCTCAGAAGACATGGCAGGGGCTGCCTTTGACTGAAACCCTTCTGGGTTGCTCGACTCTCGTATTTCTTCTTGTACCATGTCTAACTTAGCCTCTCTAGGAGGCAAAGAAATGACCACAAACCTCTGTGTGGACCCTGTCCCCAACTTTGCATCCTTCTACTTGCTCTGGATAACAGCTTTGCATTAGGCATTGAGACCCCAGCACCTGTGGAGATACGGGAGAAGATTGTGGGCCAAGATTGTAGAAAATTCAGTACATATGTCTCTAAGAGAGTAGTCTCCAAGATAAGCAAAAAATTTTTTTTCTGGTACTTGGGACCAAACTCAAGACCTTGTGCTTATGAGGCAGGCATGGCACCACTGAGCTAAATTCCCAGCCCCAGAAGGTCTTTCCTTGCTTGGAATTTTTGCCTTATTATTTCTCCTTTTCTGTGTTATAGATAGTAGCTAAATATATGTGGGTAGTTGCAGGCATGGAAGCTGTATGTGATTTTATGACCAAACCCAGCCCTTTACTGGGGCTCTAATTGAGCTGATTGCAGAGCAGTTAACTGAATGGTGCCGATTTGATTGTTCTACTGAGTGGAATGGAGTGACCTAAAAAACTGTGTGATAGGTCACATTTCCCCTGTCCATAGGGAATGGAAATCTTCTCAGAGCTCTAGTGAAACTTGCTGTCTTTGACTCAACTCCACGAAGTGTGGAACAGCATCAACCCCATGCTGGTAGGCCTGGATTCCACTGACTATGGTCCTTTCACCCTGCTGCAGGATTGAGCTCCGGGCCCTGGGTAAGATCTCCGAAGGAGAGGAGCTGACAGTGTCCTACATTGACTTCCTCAGTGTCAGTGAAGAACGCAAGAGGCAGCTGAAGAAGCAGTACTACTTTGACTGCACCTGTGAGCACTGCCAGAAAGGGCTGAAGGATGACCTCTTCCTGGGGGTGAAAGAGGACCCCAAGGTACACGCAGCCCTGGTGCTGGGTGTTTGTGGTCATCTTCTCCAGGAGTCAGGCAAGGGGTAACTTTACAGCTTGTCAGTGGGCCCAGATCATTAGGGAGGCAGCGTGGGATGGTGCACAGAATAGACATGTAGGTCTCAGCTAGCATAATCTTGCACTACCCTGAATGTCAAAGGTGGTATCTACTCCAAGACAGAATGGGCTGCTTCATCACAGGATCTCTAATTCATTATCCCCATCTTTCCCAGCCCTCTAAAGAAGTTGTGAAGGAGATGATACAATTCTCGAAGGACACACTGGAAAAAATAGACAAGGCTCGATTGGAGGGTTTGTATCATGAGGTAAGAATTCACTTTTCAGAGTGGAGAGAGAAGATGTAGAAAGACTCTCCAGTAGAGGAGGGAAGTAGGATGAAGAAGGGGAGGCTTCAGAGCAGATTGTTTTTTGGAAGATATCCCTTAGTTGAAACTATGACACCTGCCCTTAAACTTCAATCCTGTTGAAGGCATTCTCTCAGTCACTGGCCAGTCCTTTGAAACGGGGCTTTAAGGAGAACAAAGGCAGCTTGACCAATGTACCTGAGGGATCTGTGACAGCTCGGGTGGCATCAAAGAGGAAGCATGGCAACAGCAGTTGGCACACTGGGAATGAGCTGCTTGCTTTCCCATGACTGAATGCCTATGTACTACAGTTTCCAGAACCTACCAACTGAGCATTCAGCCTCAGCTCTTGAAACACCAGGAATTATCTGGCTATAAACTAGAATTGCATTTGAAAAATCCTGGTGCCCAGACCCCAACCTAAGATGATTTCACTAGAAACTCTGGGAAGGGGACCCAGACATCAAGATATTTAAAGTTCTCAAGTGATTTCAATGTGCCGCCTAAGCTGAGACCCACTGCCAAGCTCTGGCCTGCAGACAGATTGCTTTGAATTTACCTGGGCATCTTGTTGGCAACCGATTCATGTGTCTCACTCCCTACAATATGATTCAGCCATCTGCAGCAGAACACAGGGACCAGGAAATGGTATTCTTTCCTAAGCTTAATTAAATAACTCAGCTGCGTAGCCAGGTTTGGATAATGCTAAGTCAGAGCAAAGTGGGAGGTTAATTTCTCTTTATTTCTACTTGCATTTCTCTTCTTCCACTTTTACAAACTCATTCATTACACATGTATGAGCTGGGGTGACCAACATGAGACATGTCCTGGGAGTTCTGTCATGTGGAGAGGCAGCCACATGAGCAAAGTGTTATTGTACAATATGGGAAGTCTGTGTTGAGGGCGTGCGTTAGGAGCTGAAGTGAGGAGAAGGGCCTTAAAAGTTCCATGTTCCTGGCTTTGCTCCTCCTCTTCCGTTCTTCCTGATCTCATTTGAACTTGGTGAAACCAGGTATAGGGCTGGGCACTGTTAGCATGGATTGAAGAGGATTTTCTTCAGAATGAGCTGATTGTGTCACACCTCCAACCAGTTCTTGCCTGGGCTCTGGCAAGGCCTCAGAGCATAGTTACTTTTAAGATAGAAAGGATCTAAAGGAATTTCTCCCATGGCAGCAGCAAGGGAGGAAGAAGAGAACAACAAATACCTAAAATCTGGAGACCATTTGACTTTGTAAGGATGCAACTAACGCCTATGTCTACACATGGATCAGATGAGGAAAAGCATCCTATTTCTCCTCCTGAGGGGGTCTGCCAGCTTCCTGGGAACCTCTTCCCACCCATCTATACACAATTAGTGGGGCATGGTTGTTCAGTTTCATTGTGCATAAAGACTACCTGGGGGCTGTACAAATTGCACACCCAACACTTCTCACCTAGATAACTGGTTCCAGTTTATTTTGGATATAATCTGGACATTAGTGTTTTTAGAAAGCTTTCCAGATGATTCCACACCACAGTCAAGTTAAAGAACCATAGGAATCAAGGTGGACCTCAAATGCTTGGTTTGAATCTTTCATCTGAGACCTTTGGCAAAGTTCTAACTTTGTGCTTCAGTTTCCTCTTCTAGTAAAATGTGAATATTAGTAAAACCTATGTTATTGCATTATCATGAGACAATGTGTCTGCCTATATATGAATACATATACACATATTTGTATATACTTATATATTTGCATTGACAAACACGTGTATACACGTACATGCATACATAGCTTTCATTCCTCCCTTTTAATTATTCATTTTGAAAACTCTGCTGGATCATTACCATTTCCATTCCTATATCTTAGCCAGATGGGATCCTTTTGCTACTCAAATCTCAAACCCTGCTTTCCCACCTCGTCAGCGGTTTCTCTAGTCCTGAAAGACCAAGTGCTCAGTGCCGTCAGGATGCTTCAGTGTGTGCATGACGCTGTGCTCAGGTGCAATGGCAAAGGGCAGCGCCTTGTCTCTTTCTAGGTCGTGAAGCTCTGCCGGGAGTGCCTGGAGAAGCAGGAGCCGGTGTTTGCCGACACCAACCTGTACACGCTGCGGACACTGAGCATGGTTTCCGAGGTCCTCTCCTACCTCCAGGCCTTTGAGGAGGCTGCACACTATGCCAGGAGGATGGTGGATGGCTACATGTAGGTGATGACCCCAGAACTCAGATGGTTTCTGAAAGCGTGTCTCTTCCAGGGGTGGAAAACACAAGACGCTACCCTTCCTTCTGTACCCACAGCGGAGATTAGTGATCAGACATAGTTCTTTTTACAATTGTGCCTTTTTATCAGGGTGCTGTGAGCAGTTATGACTAAGCAATTAGAATTAGCACTTCAGATGAAGTTTATACTTCATCACCTCTGGTCTTTTAGACCTTTATTTATCACTTGGGTGGCATTTTCTGCTTTTGACAATCTTAAGGCTAAATGCAGCTTGATTTAAGTGCTTGGAAAGTTTTATTCCTAACAAACAGCAAAAGCCTTCCTATGGCTTTCTTTCTATAGTTGTTTCCTTATTGAGAGAGAGGGAGGGGGAGGGGGAGGGAGAGAGAGAGATCAGTCATCCTTTTTATAAATTATAAATGCAATTTCCTTGCCTTCCCTCTGCCAATATCTTCTCTTGTATATGCATTGTATCCATGTTGGCAGGTGAATTTATATTTCTGGAAAAACGTGTAAGTTGACAGAAGAAGTTGCATTTCTTTAAAAGAATGTTACTTCTATTTTTAAAATGCAGGCGAATAGTACAGCATGATAGAGGGGTCCCTTACCTGAGCAGTGAACATACAGTGCTGTTCCAAGAAAGAATGTCAAGTCAGCTTTTTCCTCACTTTCCAAGGAGAGGACTGAGTGCTCTTCAGGATGTCAGCTTCCTATGATAAAGTTCAAAGTATAATCCTGGCCACTTTCCTTATGAGGACGTGGCTCGGTGGCCCAGGTCAGAGTCCGAACTGTGGGGGATGTTTGCCAATTCTCTGTGCCTCAGTCTCCCCTTTTTCCAGCAGGCAGATGCCACACAGCACTAGGAGGAAGAGCAGAGAGACTTAAGCAATGAGGGCACTTTAGAAGTCGTTAAATGATGTGCAGGTATAAGGACAGTTATGATGACCCCCTGTGCCCCTACAGGAAGCTCTTCCACCCCAACAATGCCCAACTGGGCATGGCCGTGATGCGGGCAGGCCTGACCAACTGGCACGCTGGGAACATTGAGGTGGGGCACGGGATGATCTGCAAAGCCTATGCCATTCTTCTGGTGACACACGGACCCTCCCACCCCATCACCAAGGACTTAGAGGTAAGTGGCATCATGGGGCTGTGCACTCCCTGCCTGCTCTGAGCTCTCTGAGGATGAGAGACATGGTTCAGCTGGGCTTTGCTTTAGGGATCCATAGATTGCCAGCTAGACCAGGAGGGGACTTAGACATTCCTTAGCCCATCCCTTCTTGTTTTACATTTGAGGAAACTGAGGCTTAAGTAAGGGGAATAATCTGTCCATAGAAACTTAGTGAGTTAAGGACAAAGCTGAGACTCAAATTCTGAGTCTGTTGTATCAGACACCCTGAGACAACCTGAAGAACAGTGTGCATGTGTGAATATGTGAGTGTGTCTGTGTGTGTAATCCTTCCTAATATCAAGTGCTCTTTTTTATTTTTAGAGCATACTTTATAGTTCCTGTAATCAAACCCACATAGATAAGACATTACATGTTTAATACAGTGCATTATTTATTACCCCTGTACAAATGGGAAAAAATTAAGTTTAACATTTCTGAGCAATATGGCTATTAATTTCTGTACAATGCCAACTCAACACGGTAAACTGAGGTATTTTTTTTCAAAGTTAAGAGTACAGTTAAAGTTTCCAAAACTTCAAATTATATATATTCATATTTATATGAAAGACCAATAACAGCTGAATGTTATGAATCAATAACAGCAACAGTTTTTCGAGATACTGCAGTCATCTGAACAAAATTATAGAGACATCCGGCACACTCCATTAAGAAAAAAAGAAAGAAAAGAAAAATACCCAGAAAACAGCAAAGTTCTGTTATTGTTGTGGTACCTGGCAACATTTTTGTTTGTTTGTTTTTTGAGACAGGGTCTCACTATGTAGTTGAGACTGATCTGGAACTCATTATGTAGCCCAGGCTGGTCTCAAACTCACAGTGAACCTCCTGCCTCAGCCTCCTGGGTGCTGGGATTACAGGCGTGTGCCACCACGCCCGGCTTGGCAACATTTTTTATTAGCTTCTTAATCATCATGTGGAAAGAAAACATTCCAGTGTAACATCATTAAAAACAGCTCTCATAAAGCACAGTTACTACTACATATCATAAAGCAGGTATGACATTTTATGTTACAGAGGTGTGATACGGTATTGTCTTAATAGCAAGTATCCTATATACAGTGCAGTTTGGGACCAAAGGCTCAAATCAGTCACTAGTACTCAATTTCCACTTGTGAAGGTCTCTAGTCTTGTGATTTTGCAATTGTTGAATGGATAGGCCTCAGACTCTGCATTGGCAGTAGGAGGGAAGAGAATAAGATTGTGGCGAGGTTTAGTAAACTAATGTGTACAAAGTTCTTAGAATGGTGGCCGGCAAGTTGTATGATCTTCACAGCTGCCGGTCCCCCTTGTGCTTTGAAGAAGGGCTGGTTTATTTGGAATGACAGGTCTGTTCTCATGTAGTATAACTCGGGAACGCAGACAAATGTTAGTGTTATGACACATACTGAAATGATTACATTGAAGACCACTCTGTTCTCAGGTGTGGATGTTCTTTTCCTTCCTATGTCCCAAGTTTCCTCATCTATAAAATGTAAACAACCAATATGCTAGACCTTCAAAAGTGACTTGAGGACCAAATGGGTCAGAAAGATGGAAGGAACTAACTTTACCTCTAGTGTAGTAGCTGTCAGAGGCTGTGTAGTTACCGGTCTTATTCACTGTGGTAGCCTCAGTCCAAACCACACCTGGCCCTTGACAAATATTCCTTGAATGAACATTTGGGAGAATGAGAGCTTTTCTGTGTCACACAGTACAATCTTCCCAGCACACCGGAAAGCACAAAGGACTCTCATCCACTTCATAAGTGAGGAGACTGAGGGCGGAGGTGGCTATATCACTTACCTGAGGTTGCACAACCCATACGTTCAGGAGCCAGTGTTTAAATCTGGGTCCCCACTTGAAAGTTTCTGAGTAAAAACTTCCTGTGTTGAGAAACATGGTTCCAGTTACTCTGTCAGGGGCCAGACTTCCTCCTCTTCCTAACAAACGACCCACTGCCAAGACAAGTCCACAATGGATGAGTATGTGGAGTGTGCGCGTGCACGCATGTGTGTGTGTCTGTGTCCTGAGGGACAAGTTGAATGTCAGTGACTGGGAGTCATTTGCTCCCACATCAGTCAGGATGTCGTGGGTGCTTCTTCTCACTGTTTATGGTCTCTGTGTCCCACAGGCCATGCGGGTACAGACAGAGATGGAGCTGCGCATGTTTCGCCAGAATGAGTTCATGTACCACAAGATGCGGGAGGCTGCCCTCAACAACCAGCCCATGCAGGTCATGGCCGAGCCCAGCAATGAGCCAGCTCCAGCTCTGTTCCATAAGAAGCAGTGAGGACCTGGGATGGGGAGCAACATGGCACAGGGAAGAGAGTCTGCATGGGGTGTGATTCTCCAGAGAACCTTGATAAGTAAAGCAGGGTAGTTCACTTTGTGCCCGAAGGGAATGCACTGCCCTTGATCCCTAATGCCAGTTTGGTTCAACTTATTTTAGTCCAGTTTAACTCTATCTCATCCTTTCAGAACTCCTGCTATAAATATTTTATTCATTTCTACATCGTAGCATCCAATAAAGGAACACAAATATAGTTGGAGGCAAAATGTAAACAAAGCACAGTGTGATTCCAAATGGTGAACTGTATGGAGAGAGGGGTAGTGCGGAGGAGGGTGTGTGTCTGGTGTGTCTGGTGCATGTGTTATGTGTGCTATGGGGTAGTCACAGAGCGGATGGCGTGCAAGCTGAGGGTGCTTCTAAGTCCTTGGTGTCTCACTGGCTTCTCATTTGTCTGTGCAGATGTTTCTGGGGCTGTTGGTCTCAACCACGGTCTAGAATTTTAGTATTTAGAAGACTAGGGTTGATGATACCCACTTTCCTCAGGCTGATGTGGAGTTCTGAGGAAGGGCTGTGCTTGGTCATTTAGGATCTACTCAGTGAGGTGAAAACCCTTCAGAATAGTGCAATGCAGAAAGAGGTAGTAGTCTTGCTAACCAACAAGAACTCTACTTAACATCTTGAAGTCACAAATCCCACCAAGCTTCATATTTTTTTTAAAAATCCCTGCTTAAAATGTTAGCTTCTCTACTCCACTCTTCATCCTCAGAATGATGCACTGTCTTCCTTTGGCCCCTATCCAAGTGGCTGAAGACTCTGCAAATGGGTCATTTCTTTGCAGAGTACATACTTGACATTTGGCTCTTTGTTGAGATCATTTTCCTCTCTAAAAGTTTGTAGGCATTCTGACAGTTCCCTCCTTGGGAATCTAACAGGTATATTGAAATGATCATCTTTGTCCCCTCATTTAACACCCTTGCCTTTGTCATCACTGTCTGTTCACACATTGGTCTTTCTCCCATATTCGTATAATTTTCCCGAAGCCATCATGGAAACTTTGTCTTTGATGAATCATGCTGTGTGCCTATGCTCCTCCTTCCCCTCTTCCCTCTCAGACCATGCAACAGGATTCCTTCTTCCCCCACAAAGCTAAACTCTGTACTTGTGCCTTGGACTCCTTGCTCTCCTATGTCTTTGAGAGATTGGTAATTATTATTCTTTATCCTTCCTGGATATTTGACCTTTGTCCACCACCACCGTGCTGTAATGCAGTAGACAAACGTGCAGAGGACTCTTGGACCATAATCTTTATGGCTGAGTATTCTTTTGGTATAGTTATTGTCGGCATGTCCTCACTTTCCATTTCTCTCAGAGTGGTGTCAATTCCTGCTCCTCCAATAAATGGCTCTTGCCAAGATCAACTGGGTACTTGCTAGTCTTTACATTATTTGGCCTCTCTCCATGAATAACACTCCCCGACCTTGATTTCTGTGAACCCATATCCTTGGGATGTCCTCTGATGTAGTTTCTCAAGCTCCTCCACCTGCCCTGATGGGTTAGCATTTCTTGGGGTGGTTCTGATCTTGATTCATTCTCTTTTCACTCTGCAGCACTCCCTGCATGAGGTGAGGCGGGCCCTTTCTGTAATGCCCAACTTGAGATTGATGACTCTTACATCTGCACTCCTTGACTTTGCAGTTGAACTTCAGCTCTGCACGCCCTCTTAGATGTTCTGTAAACACATCAAACTCCACATGTCCACAATGAGACTCTTTTTCTTTCCCCTCTTACTCAACATGTATTACCCCAGAACACCACTCAACAAACATTACCTTCTCCATCAGATTGTGAGTTCCTAAAGGCAGGGGATGTGTTTCTCTATTCATCTTTCTATCCTCAGCACTTAACACAGGTCCTGGGAAATGGTAGGTGCTCGGTAAATGTGTGTTGAATAAATGAATGAATGGCCAATTGAGAGAATTTGCTTTACTTGGAGCCAAACAAATGAAGCTGCCTTTAAGTTTTTATGTTAAAGCAATCAAGAAAGCCCATTAAACCCTCCGTGTTTCCAAGAAAACTCATATGACTTCTTTCTTTTTTGCAATTGTTTTAGAGCTGCACTGTCTCAGAACTTTCTGTGATGATGGACATGCATTATATCTGTGCTGTACAATAATGTCATCACTAACATAATGTGATTACTGAGCATTTGAATATGGCTGAGGAACTGAATTGTTATTTTTTTCTAATTTCAGTTAATTCATGTTTAAATATCCAAAATAGGCCAGGGATTTAGGTCAGTGGTGCTGCCACCTGCCTCGAAAATTTGATCCCTGGTACCAAAATAAATAAATAAATAAATATCCAAAATGGCCAGTGACTGTTCTATTAGATTGTGCAGTTTTAAAGAGATGCTTTCATGTAGTTTTTAAGAGCATGGACATGGAGAAAGTCATTGAAGTCTGCCTTTTTCCCAGCTCTCATATTAATTGTGTGACATTGGACTGATTACTTCACCCATGTGTCCCATGTGTCGGTCAGCTTTCCATTATTGAGACAAAATATCTGACGTGAGTCGACTTACAATAGGCACCATTTATGTTGGGTCATGGTTTCGGAGGTTTCAGTCCAGCAGGCTCCAAGGAAGAAAGCATGGCGGAAGGGTACGGAGGAGGAAAGTTGCTTAACTCGTGACATTCAGGAAGCAGAGTGAAGAGAAAGCCAAAAAGTAAGGAACTGGAGGCTAACTATATCCTTCAAAGGCTGCTCCTGCTGACCTACTCCTCTAACCAGGCTCCACTTCCTCATTAGTCTCCTCTGCATTGGATTGCTGTGAGGATTAATTTTCTTAAATGTAAATAAATCACTGAGGACAGTACCTATCCTGATCTGAGTTCTAATTTGACCATGTGCTGTAATTGCACTGCTTCCCACCATGTTTCCACCAGGGATCCCTTCTTCTAATTAGAAAGTGAAGATGAGGATTAGAAGCAGACGGGAGTGTGCTGAAGTCTGCTATGAGAGCTGACTGTGCACCTGTTTTCCCAGATCTGTTTTCCTTACACTTATGACTTCAAATTGGCCATGGTGGTAACTGGATAATAGGCTTAATCTTAGAGTATCTTAAATCAATCTAATTTAAAAGGGGTTTTGCCACATGGGAGTAATAGAATGGATAGTTAGAAAGAACCTTGGCGTCTTGATTTAAACTGGAGTGGTATCTGAATTGTGGAACTTCTAGCTCTCAGCCCACACAAAACATGGTACAAAACTTCTGCTCACCACCCTTCAGCCTAAAACAAGTGCCCACAACACCTCCAGTGTATCCACAAATACACTTGTGAAAGGCTATTATTTGGGCTAATGTCTCAGAGTTTATTTCTCTTTAAAATACACAGGAGAAAAAAAAATATATATATATAGACATTCCTTGTTTAATGACCAAGTTCTTTTCTTGCAACTAGATCGTTAAATGCATTGGTCTATAAATGAGGAATTGTATGTAGTATGTACGTGACAATATTCAGAACAAAGAAAGAGTCAAAGGAAACTCTTAACATGATGACTTTCCTTTTATTTGCATAACTCTTACTTGCAGTACTGTGATGTATAACAACACAAAACTATAGCACTAAATTGTACAGTGCCATTAACAAACATTAGAGTATTATATAAACAAGGTGTACTGTAAAGAAGAAGAGATTAAGGCTCTATAAACAAGATGAATAGAACTGTACAAAAAAGAGGTCAGAAGTCCAATGGGCCTGTCATTAAATCCATGCAGTGTCCCTTGCTTTGAAGTCCGAACAGTCATTAAAGACAGGTCGTCAAACAAGGAATGGCTGTATAGTTGAGAACTTCCCTGTGGCCAGAGTGATTTTTCTACAGTGTATTTTATATCAAGTTATTTGATTTTTTGAGACAGAGGCTCACTATGTAGTTTAGGCTGGCCTTAAACTCACTATATACCCCAGGCTGTCCTGGAACTCACAGCGATCCTCTTGCCTTGGCCTCCCAAGTGCTGGAATTACAGACATGTGCCACCATAGCAGGATATTGGCCCGATAGTAGGTTACTCTTAGAGCTGGCCCAATAGTAGGTTACTCTTAGAGCTGAGAGCCCCTTATAGGTTTCCTACTCTCTCCTGGATTAACTCCAAGCTCGTTACCAGCATAAAAAGAAATTCACAGCAGAGACTCAGTCTCTTCCTTCCCTCTTCTCTTTCCAAGCCCTACTTTCACCATACTCATTTAAGACAATATATCCCGGGATGCTTTCAGGCCTCCTTCATTGCTTTTCTAGAAGGAATTCTGGAAAACTATGGACTGCTCAACATGTATAAAAAAAAAAAAAAGTGCTCTGAAAGTCAAGTGTGAACCAAATTAGATTCTCTGCTCCACCCCAGCTCTCTATTACTTCTTATTTTTTTTTAAAAAAGACAATGACTGCTTCTTTGTGAATATAGGCATCAGAAGCCTCCATTACTAATCAGTATCCTCTGACAGTGAAGATTGTTCACTGTTGGTGGAGATGCCCAGAGGACAGGTGGAGAGGAGGGGGTACAGATCAAGGTAAAAATAGCTGTTCCCAAACACAGCTGTTCAGTTTATGTAAAGGAGGCTTCCTGCCCAAGGAATATTGTCTCTCATATTGTTTCTTTTTTAAAAAAATGCGTTTATAATGTCCCTCCCCCGCTTTGACGCTGGGGATCCAACCAAGGGCCTTGGTTGGATTTACCACTGAGACACACCCTCAGCTTTTATAGTGTCTTTTTCACGTAAAACTTAAAATTTTTCATGTAGTCTAACTTATTAATCTTTTTCTTCGTGGACTTTGCACCCCACACAGCTACTGTCATATCTAACATTTCACATTTAATTATCACTTTAGGTCATCTGGAATTGAATTTGTGAACGTTATGTCGTAGTGTCCTATCCATTTTCGCCCTGTAGCTCCTGGGTCTGAGTCCTTACTGAAGTGCCAAAACATTCAGTCTATATTAATTCTCCAAATAATTTTTTCTCCAGGATTCCAGGATAAAAAGAGCAAATATAAGGAGAAAACTATACGAAAGGTAGGAGGAACTTTACTTCCATAGGTGAATTTCAAGAGAGAAGGAAAGAATACTTTGAGCTTAGCAAACTGATATTTCTTAAAGGAGGTTGTATTTAAACTGTGAGGAGGCCCAGAGGTTGTGTAGTTTGATTAGAAAGTGCGTCGCTGGCTAACTAAGGCTGGACCGCTATGATTGCAGAAGTTGCATCCCGGGCTTAGTGAACCAGGCCTTGCCTCCCTCTGTGCTGTAGGATATCAGTTAAGAACGGTGGCTGCATGTTTAAGTGGTTGGGAAAAATGGGTAATGTCTTATTACATAAAGAAACCCTACAAAATAAAAATTTCAAGCGTGTCATTGTCGTGTTCTTTGTCACTGAGACAGAATACCTGATACCTGCAACTAAAAAAGAGAAGTTTATTTTGGTTCACAGTTTGCAGAGCTGTCAGTCTATAGCCAGCTGCTTCAAAGGCAAGTTGGTAAGGCAGAGGGAGAGGGCAGAGGAAAGGCTGTTCTTGGCATGATGACTAGGAAAAGAGATATAACCTTCCTGTCATACCACGGTGACGCACTACTTTCACCATGCTCCATTGCCTACTAGCAAGTCAGCTATAATACGCCCATAATCCAGCCACATTCCAAGGTCACACCCGAGGCTTTACAGAGGCACCTAGATATAACTCATAACAATACCCACACATAAAAGCTTCGGAGCACAATGTCCAGAAAGCTGGGAAGAGTTCCTCTCTGGAACCTTACAGAAAGGTTCCCCGGCCCTGATGTGGACGTGTGGATGAGAGGATGAGCAGTCTGACTCTCAAAGGTAGACAACACACTAGGGAGCCTCAGGAAAGGTGTGTGAGAGAAAGAGGACTCTGCTGGGAGGGGAGCAGCTTTGCAGGAAACACAGAAGGGAGCAGGGAGGTGGATGTGAAGCAACCCAGGCCTCAAGGAATGAGCTTTCAAATCCCACTCCAACAGGAGGGATCTGGCCCTTTATCAAGGATGGCTGTGGGCCAGTACAGTTCTGGGCTCTGAAACACCTTATGTGAGTGGAATGGCAGAGCCTGGCAGGACTCTGCACAAAGGCTCGGGATACAGCATCAGATTTCAGGGCTGCCTGTCCCACAGACTGATGGTCCAAACAACAGAAATGTTTATTACAGTTCTGGAGGTTGGAAGCCTGGGTCAAGGTGTGAGCAGGATTGATCTTTCTTTGAAAGAGCTAGAGAAGACTCTGTCCCAGCCTCTCTCCTCATTCTGAGTAATTGCTTGGTCTGTGGCAGCCTAATTCCAGGCTTCACGTGGGCACTCACCATGTGGGTGTCTCTGTGTCCGAATTTCCCCTTTCTGTAAGGATACCAGCCATATTGAATTAGGGCCCCTCCCTGCTCCAGTGTGACCTGCTTTTAACTCAACCAATTACACCTGCAGTGTGACCCTATTCTCTGAATAAGATCACACTCTGAGCTACTAGGGATCAGGGCTTCATGTTTGCATTGTTGAAGGGTACAATTGAATGCCTGACAGGGTGACAGAACATGGTGTTCAGGGACTTCCTCCCCTGCTTCTGCATCTGCCCCTGCCCTTAGGGTGGAGGAAGCTTCCATCCAAGCTGCTTCTGTCCAAATCTGGCTGCCCTCACTGGGCCTCTCACGCAGCCCTCCTGTAGCAGAGGAGTTGTTCCTTTGTTGGATCAGTGCCTGCTCCTTCACCCCTGTCCACCGCTGAGTGTCCACTGTGGTTGTGATCATGGGCACAGCCCTCCCTTGTCTGCCAGAATTTCTGGCTCCTGTCCCTGTGGGAACCACAGCCGAGCCCAGCTCACAGCACACCGCCTTGGTCCAGCTCCTGATCCCTGTAGCTGCCCGGGAGAGGCAGGCCAGGGACCCTACAGACCCAGCCACATGCGGCCTTCCTACCATGGGCAGCAGCACGGGTTCTGTATTCAGGGAAAGACCTGGTGGAGGAGAATGTGTGACTTACCAAACTATAAAACTACAGATGATCAGAGACCACCGAGAACACACTGAGTATCAATGAGAAGCCAAAACAAAAACAGACATTTTAAAAGCACTGTTTACCTTATTACATTTATTTTGCAGAGTAAAAATATGAAATGCAGACTTGTCTAAATTCTCTTGCTGATTCTCTTGAAGACAATGTCTCCCACTGTCATGGTCTAAAAGCCAGAAAAGAAACCATTAAGTGCTCACTGATGTGAAATCGTTAAAAACAAATAATTAAGGCCCCCCCAAATAGCTGCAAATATGGTAACACATGAAACAACAGAACGAATCATCTGTTTCCTATAGGAGCAGAGAAGGGCTAGAAATCTCTTCTGAAATCCTATGCCAAGTCTCTGCCACTTCGCTGTCTTCTGTGCAGAGTTGTGCTGCCATTTGCTGACTTCTTTTCTACACGAATGGGTGTGACAGGGGCATCACCCAACTTGCCCCGTCCAGTCCAATTTCTCTAAGCCTTACTGAGCACCTGCTATGTGTAATACCATGTTGAGCGCCAAGAACACCTGTGCACGGAACACCAGGCAACTGGCCTGGGACATCATGGGCACTGCCTGGTTTTCCTCCTAGCGCTGTGAACGAAGAGGGTGAAAACACTGGGCACATCGGCTTTGGGGTCCTTGAGGGATGCTCCCTCCTCATTCTGGTTCTCTGGTGAACAAGACAGCTGGAGTGACACAGCCCGTCATCACAGTGACAAAGGAGCCCTTAGCTTCGGCAGCAATGGAGCGGCTGCTCAGAGTAGACCGGGGCCTGGTTCTATCACTTGTCATCTGGATGACCTTGGATAGGTCGACCTGACCTTGGAAATCTTTGACCCAACTCCCTCACAGGAGACGGGAGGATTAGGCAAGTTGGAGCTATCAGAGGATGTTGGCCAGGTCCCATCCCAAACACCTCATCTCCTGCTCCCCTGTCCTGCTGGGAAGGTGCTGGTGTGGGCACAGAGACTGCATTTCACAGTTGATGCTCATAGTGACACTGCCTGAGGGATGTTCCCACGTGAACCTCATGGCCACAGCCTCCTTGGACTGCCTACTGCCTTCTGTGACTCCCTAAAGCAAACTTTGAGATCACAGGAAAGCAAGTGGGGGACAAGTGCAGGAGAAATTCTGCAGATCCCCTCCCAAACTGGCCAACAGCCAAGCACTGACAGCTGCAGACCCTGAATGTAACACACATAGGGCCGTGCATTCGCCACAAATATGATCATTTTTTCCCAAATGGGAAAAGGCATGTATTAGGCCCCTGGGGCTTGTAGGGAAGTTAGAGGCCCCTGTATCTTTGATTAGTGCTGAGGCAGAAGGAAAGGCTGTGGCTGTTAAGTACTTTGATGGCACAGAAGCAATGAAAGAGCCTGACATTTTGGCCAGAGTCCTTGTATGGGGCTGCAGTGTCCGTGGGAAGAGGTGATGTGTGAGCCATGAGGCCTGCAGGAAGGGACATCTGCAGATGAATGGATTCTTCCCTCTGCTTTGAGCTTTGTCCTGGTGGAGATTGGAAACATGAGCTGCACTGGTCACTGTGTGTGCCTGTGCCTTTCCTGCCGAAGCCCTCTCTTACTCCATGTCATCAGGGAAGAGGGGCAAGGGGGTGGGACTGAGCAGTCAAGAGGAAGGAAGGAGGGTGGGAGGGGCTGGCAGGGGAAGAACAGCCTGAGGGAGGTGAGCTTCTAGCTCTTGCTGAGCTAGAAAATGGTGCCCTTTCCGTAAGATCCTACTCTTCTGTGCATCACAAGGTCCTCCTGACACATTGCACTTGTCTGGTTAGAACAGGACTTCAAAAACATGGTGTAAAAAGTGATTGAAAAGTACAGTGAAGGTCTAATTTAAACAAAGACTTATTTTTCTTGCCAGTTTCTGAAGCACTTCAGGATGTCTTCTTTCCCAAGTGACTTTAGTTACACTGTCATGACTGCCTGCGTGCCCTCGAATTGCTCCAAAATGCTTACTTTCATGGTCATTCTGAGTTGAGAAAGAGCCTGAATTCACAGGGTACCAGATCCAGGCACAAGCTGGATGAGGACACACCACAGTGTTTCTCCTCATCTGCGTTTTTATTGGACGATACTTGGCAATGGCGTTCATTGTATTCTGATAACATCTCCTAAAGATTCTCACAACCGAAGCTTCCAGGACTGTTTAAGAATGTGGCAAGAACTTGGGGTAACTCTGTTTGAAGGGAGGTGGAGTAATTTGAGGGGGATTATGGCAAAGTGCCTTTTACTGTAATACACTTTAAAACTGTAATCTTCACTATATTTTTAGACCCCACCTTCTAAGGACAGAAGCCTATAAGATCTGTGATGTGAGTACCTACAGCTGGAAACAGCTGGGGATGGCAGCCCCGAGAGACTGACTCAGCTCAAACCCTAGCTCTGCCATTTCATGTCTCTTTGTTGGCCTCAGTTTCTCCTTCAGAAAACTGCTGTTGGGAAGCTTAGAGATGCTGTATAAACTTCCTGGCACAGAAGGAATTCAATAAAGTGGTAGGAGATACAGATAGGCAGCAAATTCAGGGCTGAGAAGAGGAAAGTGAGGCATGGGGTGAGGGGTGCAGCTGCTCCTCACCCTTCACCTCCGCCTCTCTCCAGCACCAGTCACAAGCGCAGAGTGGCCACTTACAGTGTTCAGTGTGTCCCCATTGAGTTCGGCCACAAACTTGATGTTTTTGAAAGCTGTCACGAGCTTGTTTTCACCTTCCAAGTTAACCACCGCCTGTGGGGCACAAACAGAGGCCTGTGAGGACGGGTCTGTGCAGAGCAAGACCCCCCCTCCCTGTGCAGGTGTCAGCTTACAACAACCGACATACTCTGGTCCCTGTGCTCCCAACCCTCAGTTCTGACAGTAGAGAGGGGCACAGAAGACAGAAAGAAAACCTCAGGACATCGTCTGTCAGAACTTCAGTCCATGCTGTGTGATCTAGAAAAGCACACAGGACACTGAGTGGTCCCCAGGACAAATGCTGAAACAGAAGCAATAAAGTCTCAGTTCTCCAAGCTAATGGAGGCGGCAGTGTCAGAATTCAGAACCCTGCACACACTTTGCTCTGGTCCGCCTGGGTCCTGCCGGAACATTCATGGTTCCTGTGTGGTCTCCTCTCCCAGCCTTGGACATCCAGAGGAGCAAACACAGAAACCCAACCAGGAGAGGAGGACACTGCCAAGGTAAAACATCTCCCTCCACGTGGACACCTGGAAAAGGCCCATGGTAGAACCCACAGCGGCCGCCCCTTCCCCTGGGCACAGCCAAGAAAGTCCTGGCATTTGCCTCAGTCTCTGATGTTGTCCCCGGAGAGGCAGAAATAAAGAGCGATGGGAAGCAGTGAGGAGAGAGCTTGCTGAGCCCAATGCAGAGTCATCTGGGGAGCGGGAAGATGGCTGCTGGGTGGTGCTGGCTACGCTGGGGTGTGCAGTGTGTCACGGGGAGGAGCGGTGGTCAGATTTTGTGGGGGTGACAGCCCAACAATTTTCAGGGTGATAGGCTGACCAGTCACCATTGGATGCCCTGTCTCCCAATGAGAGAACAGCACGGGATGAAAGAATAACATACAAAAAACAAGGAATGAGAATAACGAAAGATAGTTTATTACTTGGAGAGCTGAGAATTGATCTTTAGCTCTCTCCTGGCTAAAGGCTTCCTAGGGATCTTAGCTCTGTCCTTGGTAAGACATTGGACTCTGGATTGGTCAGTATTTATGGTTATAGAACATAGCAAGGAAGTGTGAAGGCAGATGCAGGGAATAGAAGAACTAATGCACTTAACAAAGCAGGCTTGGAAAAAGGGAGTAGCTGTATACTTGTGAAGGAAAGGTCACTGCTAGCAAAGCACCCATGCTAGCTTGCAGGTCATAGGTAATGAGTCACCTGTGTTATCTTAGCTAATGTTTGATCTTGGAGAATGGTTGCACAAAGTCATAATTGCTCAACTGCAGTGCTTCCTTGCTATTAGAGATGTCACAACCTCATTGATCATTAAGACCTCAATTGTGATCTTGGCATAGGGAAATCCATCTCCTTACATAAGTCAAAGATCAATTAGCAATTCACACTTAGACCTTGGAATGACTCATAATCCTAATCAATAGCTGAATTTATAAGCCAAAACAATAATATCTAAAGCCTGCTCTGTGTGGTTTCAAGCTGGTCTCCTGCAATGCCCTAGGTGTCATCGTGCCCTGGAGCCCTAGATCTGTGGGGATGGAGCTGCCTTGCCCACTGCCCTCATTCAGGCAGACTGACTTCTCCTCTGCACAGATGAGGTAGCCAAGGCCATCAGCTTAATGACCCCTCAAACGTTTGTTCTGAATGTGTGCCTGGGCCTTGAGATTCTGGTGCTGCCAGCACCTCTTCCAAGATGTTTGTTCCTGTTACCATCTCCTCTGGGCTCAGCTAATCCCCGAGTTAAGGGGTTTCATTCATCCTACTACTCCATTGCTAGGCCCTGTTCAGGGAACTTTGGGAGCCAAGATCTGGGCCTGAGTGAACCTGAGACTTAGAATCCTGCTGTTCATCTGGTTTCCTCCCTTATTCCATATAGTAGAACTCATATTTTGGGGCCACAGCACCCTTTGGCAGGACCTGGGAAAATAAGAACAGATTCTGTACAAGTTCTTGACTTCTCCTACCCAAGAGGCAGCTTAGAGATAGAGTCTCTAGGATGGGAATTGTGAGACCCAGGATCCTATGATCCAGGAAATCCCTGGAGCCAGGCCCCAGGAAAGATTCTAGAAGCAGAGCATATTAGAAGGGGAGACTCCTACCTTGACTTTCTCTCCCATCATGGTCTCTATCTCACATTCCTCCCCCAAAGTGAACTCATTCTTGATCACTTTTGTCCCGGTGGTGTTGCAGAGCTTGAAGTGCTTCCCATTCTGCACCACTTCTGACACTCCCTTGATGTCTTTCCCCTTCTGGATGAGGTCCTCAGGCATCCCTGGTGGAAACCATCCAAGAGTTAGAGACAGGAGAGGTAGGGGCTGCAAGTCCAAGACACAAAAGAAACTGACATGGAGGAGCAGCCACAGACACTGGGGACCTGTGAGCAACAAGAGCTGCTAGCCTCGGATAAGGAAGGCAGGTAGGCTGGCCTGGCTGCTGCAGTCTTGAGCCTTTCTTGCCCAGTGGGTTCCCTGCTTCTTGATCCCTCTCCTCTCTCCCTAGATCCTCTTTAGTGACTTTGCTATAAGAGTTAAAGTATGTTGGCTGCAGTTTTGACAGGTAGGAGGGCAGTGTAGTCTCGGAGGTGCTGTGGAGAACTGCACCCAGGACAGTTCTCCCTCCCTAGGCCTCTCCCCTCCTACTCTTGAGTGTCCCTAACTCCTAGGCTTTGTGTATCTGATATATGTGGGGCAAGGTGAGAGCAGGCCTGGGGAGGGTGGCCACACTGTGGGACCAGTCTGTACCAAGATGATAGAAATATGGATAATGACTGACTCTGAGAAACTTCTACACCAGCTGAATATCATGCTGGAACAGGAGGCTAGATGTCAGCCAAAGGTCTGGGGATTGAGACTAATTGAATCTGCACATGATAATGGCCTTAGAGTGACTGCAAAACTATGGAACTTGGAAATGAAAGATCTTCTTAGTCTAACTCAGTTCTTTGGCTTTTATGTGGAGACATTTTCTCTACCTGTAAATTTGCTGGCAGGCAGATTCCTGTCTAAAATGAAGGTACAGTCCAAGCACCTTGGGTGTGTTGGATAGAGCTGGTTTTATTTGGCTGTAAAATCAATAGAAGAGGAAAGAAATGTCCCATTGGCAACTGACTTGATCCAAATAAGTCAGTATAGGTTCACAGTTTCCGACTTGATGAGAATGGAGAAGATTGTATTGGAGAAGGTGTGTTGGAAAGTCAAAGCTACTACCACTGCCTTTCAATTTCTACAACTCCATTATTTACTTATTCAAGAGAGCTCACCATTTGAAAGGAAAAATAGCTAAAATTTCAAAAGACTAGAAGCTCAGCTTAAGGCATGTCACTGCAGGATCCTATTTTCTTTCTTTTCTTTTTTTTTGGGGGGTACCAGGAATCAAACTCGGGTCCTTGCACTTGCAAGGAGGCGGCGGAATCATCAAGCTAAATCCCCAGCCCAGGATCCTATTTTCTAAAGCAAAGCCTTCTATGTTGGCCTTATCTAACACTGCACTGGAGACCCGAGCACAGAAGTGTGCAGAATTAGTAGGAGTAGAATGTCTTCAGAAACATTCCGAGATAAATGGCAGAGACCTGATCTTTTGGTGAGAACTTGTATCAAGTGTTTAACTGAATATTCAGCAAGCAAGTGTTCCATGCCGATGTCCTCAAGTTGAAGCGGATTGTTTCTGGGCTGCACGGCAACTGAAGCACAGTTACTATAGAATAACTCACCTTCCAATGACTCCCGAAACAGTTCCTTAATTGGTAAGTTTGGTTGTTATTCTTTGTATAGAGAAAATTGTATAATTTTCTTCTAAAATTGAAGTATTGAAATATTATCTTCAAAATAAAACAACTGGCTCGCAAGTACAAGGTCCTGAGTTTGATCCCCAGCACAAAAAACAAATAAACAAAAAACAAAAACAAAAACAAAAGAAACTGGACTTGGAATAGCAGAAAGCTATCGTCAATCTAGTCAGCTTTGAAGACATTTATTATTTATAAGGTACAACACCCTAAGGAAACAAGTTTCTAATCTCTGATTCATTAAATCAGCAACTCACAAAACATCCTCTTTAACAACCTGAATTTTTAAAGTAGCCCTGAAGTAGTGTTTTTTTAATTGCACCGTTTGCTATATGTAACCCCACACTCTAGCTCATGTAGAGTTACAACAGGACCAAAAGTTTGATCCATATGTAAACTAATTTGAGACTGTTAGCTAATAAGCAGAATAATTATGACCTTGAATATTATATCTAAAGCAAAAGTAATACAGAGCAGGTGAGCTCTTTGGGGTTTCTCAAAATTGCCATATATCTCCACATGCTGCTACTGTAGTTAGAATACTAGAAAGTAATTATATTCATAAAAATGTAAATTCGGTAACTGCATATATTCTATATGTCCTTGCCATCTAAATTTATTAACTTACTGTAGTGATTTATCTTTTCCTACTCAAAGCTAAATGTTAACATCTACATATGATTATGAAACTTAGGTATGAAAAATTTACTTTTAACAGCTAGTAATATTTAGATGGACTTTTGATAAGTTGGAATTTTTTGTTCTTTACATAATAGAATTACTGCAGCAAGACAATTTCTCCACAACCCTGAACTATGGATTTCATAATGTTATAATCGATTTAAGTATAAAACCTCAAAACATCACAGCTAGATTAGTATGACATTCTCCATCTTGGGAAAACTGCCTAATAAACATAATGCTATAGTGGGATCATGTAGATTTGAATTCATCTGTAAAGCTAAAGACATAAATATAAAACACTTAACAGAATCCTGAAAAGGTGAACTGTGAATCTTCATTTCTTTCCATTTTTGTTTGTTTGTTTGTTTTGTTTTTTTGTACTGGGAATTGAACTCAGGGCCTCCTGCTTGCCACGAATCTTCATTTCTAACATTAATTTAAATTTTTATATTGGATCAGTATATCATAGTTAGGTGATATTGAAAATGGTAACCTACTTGAATGTTAAATTTTAAATTATAAGGTTTACATCAAAGCCAATATTTCACGCGCGCACTTTTTAAAGGCATACTAAAGGTTATTTCTAGATAATGTAATAGTTTTTGGCACCCATAATGCAAGTAATTGATAATTCAGAGATGAGAATGTTATTGCTATATGAGCATTACACTTAAATTTAAAGACATTTGGTATTAAGCCAAAATACAGACCTAGTAGTTTGGCATATTCATTGAGCTATCTTTAGTATTTCTTCTAAAACACAAGTGATATTTGTATTGATGATAAACATTTCTATACAGAATCTACTTCCTCAGTCCAGATTCATTAAAAATATGTTCTATTATATTACATAGTAAGTCAAAATCAAATGTCATTCTGAAAACTTGCTGTGCCCTAAGTTCTGGCTAGATAAAACACTCCAGGTTTTATTACGGACGGTTTCTATAAAACTTCCATTGCTTCTACTATTTTTTTTAAGGAATAGAATATACTTTCACAAATTTCCGTACTGTCTTAACAAAATCAAGGAGGCACCACCATAAGGATGAGATTGCTGAGGTGGTGTTTGGAATTCTCCATGTAAGCCAATGAACGTAAAGAAATGTACACATATTGTTAGTGCTGTAAACAGTTAGTGCAGCCTGAGGCCCAAGTCTTATTAAGAATGGATGCAACCAATTTTAACATCAAAGTTATGGATAAATAAGAATTGAAAAATAAACCAAAAAACCACAGTATATTCTACTCTTATTTTTTGTAAACCATGTTTTGTGGATAACTTCAGTTTTATCCAAAGGCTAATATATTTCAATATTTTGAAAACATCAGTATTAATCTTGAGTTGGCAGAGGTAACCCAATCAACTACTGTTATGTTTGATACCTAAGAAATAAACCTTTCAATAAAATTATCGAAATGCAAATTAAAAGAAAGAGTTAAAACATAACACCCTCCACACTGGGGGACCAGAGTTTCTCCTTCAGTTCCAGTCACTACTGAAATGACAGGAGAAGCTACTAATAATAAGGCCAAAACACCACACCAAAGTGAGACTATGCCAGGGAAGCCTGGACTTTTATAGAAGCTCATGGGATGTCCTGAGAGCAGAAGTGGCAGGTTCTGTTGCACAGGTAAGGACTCGAGACAGAAGTGGTTGAGTTGCCTACAGAAGAAGACCTGAGCCAGGTTTGGCAGTACCAGCCTGCAATTCCAGCACTTGGGAGGATGAAGCAGGAGAATCACTATGAGTTGGAGGCCAGCCTGGGCTACATACATCATGAGGCCATGTTAAAAAAAATTATCCCCTCCAAAAAAGCCCCCAACAAACAAAAATCAGAAGAAGAAGACCTGTGCTCTCAAACACCCCCGAAGGTCCTCCTTCCCCGCCCTTGCTGTTTCTGTGCTCTTCTCCCTCTCCACACCCTCCTTGCACACTGCACCCTCTGCTCACAGGGCTCCCTCTGCCTGGGACACCCTACTCTCCCCAGCTCCCCAGTAGACACTGCTCCTTCCCCCCCACCACCACCACTGTTCCCCCGCCTCCACACCCTGCAGTGTTGGAGATGGGGGTTCAAGCAGGGTCCCTGGGAAGCAGAGCCTGCTTCTAATCCCAACCCAGACACTTCCTGCCATGTGACCCAAGTCTTGCCAGTTTACCTTTCTCAGACTCAACTGTAAAATGGGAACATAATGGTTCCCAACTCAGAGTTTTTGGTGAGGATTAAATGGGACATTGTATAGCAAATGCCCAGCCTAATGCTGGGTACAGAGCCACATCAAAGGGGATGCTTTGGTACATTAACTTCTTTTCTTCTCTGTCTAAAGTGTGACCTTGGAAATGTGGCTCTTCCTTGTGTATCTCAGTGCTATGTGTTCAGCTCAGTGCTTGATGTGTGGTTGGTATTTGTTAGAAGAATGAATGAAGGAATGCATGCATATGAATGAGTGAACAGGGTCTCACAGTGAAGTACCAGTGTACATGGGCTTTGATCCAGATCCCACCCTAGTTCAGTGCTCTTTCCACTTGCCTTTTGGTGGCCTTGTTCGGTGTGTATGGTCCACGTGGCAAGAGATCACCAAAGTCAGTAAAAGGCCTTCTTTGGTGTAACTTGAATCCCTCCTCCCATCCCAACATCTGACACTGAATTGCCACTGCCCGTGGGGCCAGATCCTCGCTGCTCTAACGGTGGGCTTGGTGGCCTGTCCAGTACTCACCCATTGCCTTCATGAAGGGCTCGAAGTTCTCCTGGCTCTGCAGTTGGTACTTGCCGGAGAAATCCATGGTGGTGATGGGGCTCCCTCTGCACAGCTGACCCAGGTATGAGGGATGGGCTGGCTCCTGGTGACAGCTTTATAGAGGCTTCTTCCTCTCTGTATATGGGGCCATAGGTCAGTGGCTGTGGATTTCTTCACATCCAAGTTCAAAGATTAACTCCCGAGATAAATTTTCAATGATAAACAATAGGGTGGGCCCAGCAGAGATTTGCTACAATTTGGTGAACATTAATGAACAGCTATCAGGTGCAGAGTCCCAGGGTCCTGTAGCATTTAAGGTGACATCCCATGTCTCACAAACTCAGTGTGTGTGTGAAATGTGTATGTATGTACATTATACACCTACAACATCTGACCAAATATAACGTTTACACTTTTAAATTTATTAAGTAAAAGTCAAATTGTCATTAATCCTCCTCAAAATACACCCTTCTTTTGTGAATGTCTTCATGAGTTGGAAAAGCAGGCTGTTAAAAATTACATTACATTACAATGTCACAAACATTACAATGTCAGCCAGGTGTGGTGGTGCACATCTGTAATCTCAGCCCTTGGGAGGCTGAGGCAGGAGAATTGCTGCAAGTTCGAGGTCAGCCTGTATTACATAATGAGTTCAAGACCAGCCTGAACTACATGGCAAGACCTATTCTCAAAAAGAAACATAAAACAAAAAACATTACAGTGTGTCCTAATCCAGTGGATATGGAAATGTGCAACTTTTGGCTCTTTCTACAAGTTGAATTGACCATGAAAGATAAATGGTAAGAATCACTCAAAGACATCAAGGTAGCCATGACAGTGTCCTGCAACTAAGGACACTTAGGAAAGAGGACTCTAGGGCTGCGTCCAAACGTACAAGGACAAGCATGTTGGAAGAAAGGGGAAGTATTTTAAGGAAGATTAATGGCAATGTATCTTTTTAAAAATTTTTATTGAGTTTATTGGTACAATCTAGGTATACAATACAATTACATTCATCATTGGGATCCTGTACCTTTACATGATAGGTCTTGATTCTATTTTTTTTCCTCTTGTCCCTGCCCTCCCTTCACCCCCTCCCCTCCTCCCTTCCCCATTTACAAACACTTTATTTCCTTTTTTTCATTTTCTCATATTTTTCCTCTCCCTTATTACCTTTCCCCTACCCTTCCCACTTTCCCTACACCGTTAGTCCCTTTCTTCCTATTTCACATTATTAATTATCCCATTAGGATCTTGTGTACTATTATAGTTTTTCACACCAGAGAAATTATTCGGTATTTCAGTTAAATAAATCTCTATATGAACATTAAAAATAGGGAATCCTAAAATAAAACTAAAAAGGAAAGTAAAAGAGAAAAGGCAATGATGTAAAATTAAAATAATCCTTAATTCTGAAGATGAAAATGGTCCTTGAACATATTTAAGTTGCTTCTTGCTCTTGTAGTCCTATATTATTATTTTCCATTATTTAGAGAATACTTTATTAGTTTCTGTAATCAAACCCACATAGATATGACCTTACATATTTAATACAGTGCATTACCCCTGTAGAAATGGAAAAAAAATTAACATTTCTAGACCAATATGGCTGTTAATTTCTGTACAATGCCAACTCAACACAATAAATTGCGATAACTTTTTCCAAAGTCGACAGCAGTTAAAGTTTCCAAAAATTCAAATTATTTATATATATATATGTATATGTATATTTATATAAAAAGACCAATAATAGCAGTATGTTATGCATCAATAGCAGCAACAGCTTTTCCAGGTTCTGCAGTCATCTGAACAAAATTATAGACATTCAGCACACTCCATTAAAAAAACAAAAACAAAAACAAAAACAAACAAATAAAAAACAAAGAGAAGTATAATACCCAGAAAACAGCAAAGTTCTGTTGCTGTTGCAGTACCTGGCACCATTTTTTTTTATTAGCATCTTAATCATCATCTGGAGAGAGAACATTCTAGAGTAACATCATTAAAAATAGCTCTGATAAAGCACGGTCCCTACTATGTATCATAAAGTAGGTACAAGATATTTTACATTCACAGAGGTATGATACAGTACTGTCCTACATCTATAATACTAGAATCAGTTTTGGCTTGAAATTTACTTTGCCTGCAAATAAGATTGCTAACCCTGCCTTTTTTCTGGGCTCCTGTCACATGGAGAATTGTTTTCCATCCTTTCACTTTCAGTCTATGGGCTTTTTTTTTGCAATAGGTGTGCTTCTTGTATACAACATATTGTTGGATTTTGTTTCTTATTCCATTCCGCTAGTCTATTTCTCTTGATTGGTGAGTTGAGGCTATTGACATGGCAATGTATCTTTTACTGTAATAAATTTTTAAAATGTAAACATTCACTGTATTTTTCAATCACACTTTGTATGTACATATGGACATGTACATGTATGTATAGCTATATGTATGCATACATATGTAGTGTATATTCATGTACGTATAAATATATGCAGTGTATGTGAACATGTGGATATACATTTATAGTTACGTGCATGTGTGTATGTGTGTGTAACACACATAGAGAAATGTCTTTGAGCTCAAAATTTTACCTGATTTGCATAACCTTAGGATTATTTCCTATCCTTATTATCATTGCCCCTAGTGCGGTTTGCCATTCAGGGAATTCTTTGATGAAGGTGAGTCCACAGCTCCATGCAGTCCCTCTTCTAAGTTGCGAAGTCCATACACACCACAGAGCAGGTGCAGAGCACATAATCCAGGTGTGTGGAAATCTAGATTTTTTTTATAGTCAAGGACAAGGTAAGGGAAAGAAAGGGGCAGCACCTCCATTCCTGCCCAGCAGACAGAGGCAGGGACTTGGGTGGACATGTGGGGCACCTGGCCTTGCGGAGCCCCCTGACTGGCACTGACCTTGGACAGACCACCTAGAAATGCTTCCCATGACCTCAGGAGGCTCCTGTCATGAAGCTCAGAGGTGATGGCACCCAGGGGATCTACACCCCCACTTCCTGCCTCTGAGGCAGCTCTAGACAAGCACCCTCACCCCTATTTCCCTCCCTCCTCTCTCTGGACCTTGGCCTCGGCCTCTTCTCTTGCAGCCTCCAGTCCCCCATGCTCCAGGCCTCTCTGTGCTGTGGTTGTACAGACTGTTCTCCAGCACAGCTTGAGTGTGTCACTTTTCTGGGAATGAGCCAGTAGAGGAAGAGCAAGAAGCAGGGGAAGAAAATGAATCATGGAGCTGGGGATTTAGCTCATTGGTGCTGCCATCTGCCTTGCAAGGTCCCAAGTTCCATCCCCAGTACCAAAAACAAAGCAAAGCTTTCTCGCACAAGGTCCAGAGTTTGATCCCCTATACAGAAGAAGAAGAAGAAAAAGAAGGAGGAGGAGGAGGAGGAAGAAGAGGAAGAGGAGGAAGAGGAGGAGGGGGAAGCATAGGGCCAGGAATTTAGCTCAATGGTGCCTCTGCCTGCCTTATAAATGAAAGGCCCAGAGTTCTATCTCCAGTACTATGAAGAAGAAGAAGAAGAAGAAGAAGAAGAAGAAGAAGAAGAAGAAGAAGAAGAAGAAGAGGAAGAGGAAGAGGAAGAGGAAGAGGAAGAGGAAGAGGAAGAGGAAGAGGAAGAGGAAGAGGAAGAGGAAGAGGAAGAGGAAGAAAGAAAGAAAGAAGGAAGGAAAGAAAGAAGAGAGCTGCAACTTAGGAATTTTGCAGCCTAACACCAATGAAACAATAACCAAGGTGAACAATAATGATAGTCATTAGCACCTCAATTCCATACTAATTACTAAGTACTTAGTTCGGGAGAATCTACTGGCCATACCCCAGATGCACCTGGCACAGAAATCTCACATCCAGACCTTCTTCCCTTGATCATGGCTTTCAAATGATTCACTACACAGTGGAAACTTCTGGGCTCTAAGGTGGAGAATTGGAAGGAGGGTTATGAAAGTTTCTCCAAAGGGCAAGTCAGCATCAATCCCAGAAGCCTGGGTCAGGTCGCTTCTCCTGGTATCTGAGGAAGAGTAAGACCTTGGGACAACTCCCTGTGGACTCTGTGCCTGGTCCTGTACATCCTACCTACCCTACTCTAGGCAGCACATGTGAACTGGAAATAGCACTTGGAATGTTACTGGCTCAGATGCTGGTCAAAGACATGGCCCAGCAGGTGAAGAGGTGAGAGTTTCCTGGCAGGGGGACAGCCCGACAGGCAGAGAAACCAATGGACCAGGCTGATGGACGTGAGCCGAGGATGCCCTCTCTCCTCCGACCCCAGACATAGCCTTCCATAGGCAACTCCTTCCCTCATGTCCAGATTTTTGTGTACTGAGGACACAGAGATTAGTAGTCATTTCAAAAACAAATACTTGTGAATAGTTGTCCATAAAGAAAGGGTAATAACATGTTCTACCCATGAGGTGAACAAAAACAAGAACAGATAAGCTCATTTGCAATGACAAAGTTCAAGTGGCTTCCAAGAAAAATGGAAATAAAGCTTCCAACACCATGGACCCAGACTAGATTTTAGTCATTGAAAGATCCAGGTCTGATCCAATGCCCACTAGACATGGCCTCCCCATGCTGCCTATTCAAATGACCACTGTGCAGATGCTGGGAGTTGTCTCTTGGTGGCCAGGATCTGCTAGGAATTCATTTAACAACAGGCACTCTTGGACTTGTATCTCACCCCAGGTGCATTTGCCAGTGTCTTTAAGAGTTTTACCTATTTTGTCTTCCAGCAGAGTAAGAGTTTCTGTTTTAATATTTAGATCTTTAATCCATTTTTATTTTAGTTTAATGCATGATGAGAGGTAAGGATCTAGGTCCAATCTTTGGCATGTGGATATCCAATTTTTTAGCACCATTTGTTAAAGGAGAACTTTCCTTCAGTGAAAGTATTTGGACTCTTTGCCAAAGATTGGGTAGCTAGCTGAGTGTGCCTGTAGTTGTTTCTGTGTCCTCTATTCTGTTCCACTGATCCACAAGTCTATTTTTTTCTTTTTGTCAATACCATGATCTTTTTCTTTTTATCATGGTAGCTTTGTAGTACAACTTGAAGTCCAGGATTGTGATGCTCCCTGTCTTGCTCTTGTTGCCCAGAATTCCTTTGCTATTTAGGTCACTTCTGATTCAGAT